TTCTGCAGAAGTTTTTTTCGTATTTTAGGGATGCATTTCCCTCCATAAAGGCCTCAATCCTATCAAACTTTTGTGTCTCTCAGTGTTCAGTGTGTACTGTTGCTTAATAAAAGAGTGCTATTTAACATCCTCCTTCAGAATCAACTTCCATACTGTGTACATTGTTTCAATCGAATCTCTTTAAGGACTAACTAAGCTTGTTGACTTTAAATTGAAATATATATGGAGATCAATGCAGTCGGATGATAATTTTAACCTGTCAAGCCTAAAAGTGTTATTGTTTATTCCAGAAAATGTCCATCATGCACTTTATTTCCTACTAACACCTGCTCTATCCATTTAAGGTGAATGCTCGGTGCTCGTTTTATTTTTTTAGCTACCTTTGTTTGTTCCCATTGTGTTCCTGTTGGGCGATCTCTTCGTTCTAATTTTGACGATTTATCAACAGCCGAGGGAATCGCTTTCAAACATTATTTTGATCCTGTCGGCAATCCCCATTTACATTATCGGAATCGGTTGGAAGCGCAAGCCCAAGTCCTGGATCCGACTCATGCGTACGTCATAATTGGTTTAAAATAACTACCTTTTATTAACTAAATGCGAATTTGAATTGTCTATTTGACAAGCAAATGTTTTTTTCCCCGGCAATTCATCATCGGCCGGTACAACTGCATTGATAATAAAGCTTGAAGAGTTAAACCGGGTTTATAAATGTTCTATGATTAAAACGCATCGTTATCAAACCGTCCGCATAGCGAGTTTGACGTGTACTCTGGCCTTCTTGTACTAGATACGGTAGCGATCATTCCTAGTCTAGCCGGCCTCAATTTGCATGAGGAATCGTGGGAATTTTGAACACAAGCGGGTATCCAACAGCCGCTTGGATACTTTGTTCAAAGTTCTTTCCTCTAGTACTTTAGCTCAAGAACCTAAGCATAAGACAGCGGTGGCAGGCAAACCTATTTAATGCCAGTTCATGCTCGCCGTCTCACAGGTTGGCATAGGACCGGTGGCATTGGACCGGCGGAGGGGGGAAAATAGAGTAAGTTGTGAGTATTGGTCATGGGTCGAGTACGCGGAGAGAAAATTACTGTCACGTGCATAAAGTGAAA